ACAGATGTTCTGTTTTTTAAAGAGTTTGCGTTGTAGATGTAGAAGCAAGAAAAAAAAGAAGCAATTATGTATAGATTGGAGGGGCTAATGTGCAAAAGCATTCCGATGAGTAATATTAACCCAAAGGGCCTGTCTTCTTCGAGTGCAAATGGCGTCGTACACTCTCTCCTTCATCCCTGTGACGCTCTCTACTCCTCAGATCTTCGTCTCGGGTCAGAATGGATCTTCCTCTCCTTCTTCTCGGATCCCTCTTCCTTCATTGTTAGGTCAAAAGCTTCTACTCACACAACCTTCGCGTCGCTGCTTCGTCCCCAAGCACCGCTGCTCGACGTCGGCCAGCACCGTCTTAAACGTCCCGACTTCGTGAGTTTTTCGATTTCGTCATCTTTATATTTACTGGAAATGGAAGCTTAGGGTTAGATTGTTTTTCAGGCAACCGGAGAATGGCTCTTCGGATATGATACCAAAGTGAGTCTCAAACGAAATTAAAGTATCTAATTCTAGTTATAGAGCTTCTAGGTTTGAAAATTGGGGATTTTTGAGAGGTTTATCCGTTTGGTTTTAGATGGTCTGCGAGAGCGATAAAATCACTTGCGATGGGGGAATTGGAGGCTAGGAAATTCAAGTATCCAAACACTGGGACTGAAGCCATTCTCATGGGTATTTTAGTCGAAGGTTTGTGATTCTGAGACTTTTAATTTCCTTCAGCTTTGTGTCTTCTAACTAGCTAGATTGTGGGGATCTTTATGTTGTTGCCTTGGATATTCATGTTTCTCTTGGTTGGAAGCTTTACAGTTTAGTTTTATGGAATTGAATGCAATATTTCTCTGCCTCACTGCGTGTTTTAGCTCCTCTGCGCTAAAATTGAGTCTGTGCATATGTATATGCGAGGGTTTTGTTGTGGGATGAGATTTTGCTTCTGCCCTTCTGTTTCTTAGTCATAAGCAACTGAAGCTGTATATTTAGTTTGGACGAATCCGTATAATGCTGGTGAAGAGTTCACTGTCTCAGTTTGTGCTTCAGTTCACCCACTTAACTGTTTCCAAGCATATGTTGTTTGTTCCTTTGAAAGGAAAAACATGTGTGGGTGACTTTTTGCTTGTTTTTTGGTTTCTTAATCATAAACAGTTCTCACTGTATATTTAGTTATGGAATGCTTATGCTGTTTGATCTTATTGAAAACTGGTAAGAGGACAATTGGGTAGGATCATCAGAAATACATCCTTGTCTTTTGTAGTGTTTGCTTCTTTCTGTTATTCAAAGGCTAGTGCTGGTACGTTGTTGGGAACTAAGTGTTTTACTGAAGTTTGTTAACCTTGTTATTGTCGGTTTTCATTGCAGGTACTAGCACGGCTGCTAAGTTCCTGAGGGGAAATGGAGTCACGCTTTTTAAAGTGCGAGATGAGGCGATAAACCTGCTGGGGAAATCAGACATGTTTTTTTTCAGCCCAGAGCATCCTCCTCTAACTGAACCGGCTCGAAAGGCCATTGATTGGGCCATTGATGAGAAGAAGAAATCTGGTGTGCATGAAACAACACCATCTGAATATTTCTAGACTCTTGTTTCCCATCTAATATAGCCAACTGAAAACCGTTTGTTCACAGGTGTGGATGGGGAACTGACCACAGCCTACTTGCTCCTAGGGATTTGGTCTCAAAAAGAATCAGCAGGCCGCCAGATTTTGGAGACGCTTGGGTTCAATGAAGATAAAGCCAAAGAAGTTGCTAAATCGGTAAATTTTCGAAACCCAAATTCCATAGGATATCAGAGCTTTCTCTCAGTCACAAGTGTTGACTATTTGTCCGGCGCAGATGAATGAAGATGTAAATTTGAGCTTCAAGAAACAAGGTCAATAGTGATGGGGTTTATTTCAATCAGCAAAAAAGCTTCTGTAAACTGTATATGGAGTAGCAAAAGCAACTCCTGATTCAAGACAATCGATCAATCACAGCAATAGACATTTCCTTCAATTAATCACTCTATCAAACAAGACAATCACAGTTCTTGATTAGCATTTTTTTTGCTGTACTTGGCTGCGGTTAAGTCTGCTGTATTATCACAATTCGCAACTCCAAAAATAAAAATCAGTACAAGTACAACAACTTGAATCCTTGTCTCCTCACTCGCTGAATGATTTATTGACACGTTCTCTTATACATACTGAAGTATTCTTCCTTGGTATAAGTGAGTCAATAGTCACTCAGCGAACGAGAGCGTGTGAGGGTGAACCTTGCTTGCTTCACTTTCTTTAGTCAATTAATTAGTAACCCTACAAACAAACTTGTGTGTTGTAATCTATAAACATTCAGGATCGGTATCATAGC